ACGACACGACAATAAAATATACGATGGCATTAAAAATAAGTAAGATAAAAAAGAAAGAAAATGGAGAAAAATAATTTTTTATTTATTAATTAATTAATATCAGTAACTTTAATAATAATAATAATGATGATGATGATGATAATAATGACTTTATTTTTGTGAGATGAAAATGACTTTGAAAAAAAATTTAAAGTCGATGAACTTTTATAATTAAATTAAAATAAATAAATTTTTTTTTTTTTTTATTTCATTCGAACGTGTAACCAGTCGGTGTCGGTTAAATTCAAATTTTTTAGTATGGCGGCGGCGTCGGCGGCGGTGGCGCCGCCATTCCGCAAAACAACCGACTTATTTATATAATTTTATAAATTTTTATTTATTTTTTATCACATAATCGATAAGACAAATTCACGACGACGACGACGATGACAACGATTTTCACGTTTCCACGTTAAAAAAAATTTTTTTAGCATCCGAACGTTACCGCAAAATTTTGTCCGAAATTTCCAGAAATTTCCAGAAAGAGTCTCGCGTCGATGCGAAAAAAATTATAAAAATTTATTAAAGTTTTTAACGGTTTTATTTGCGTTTTTTCCGGTTGAAAAAAAATTTTCATTCAAACTTTTTTTTTTTAATTACTTAAAAATAAAAAAAAATAAAAAAAAAAAATAATAATAATAATAATAATAGTTTCCCACTTTATATAATTCTGGAAGGTGTAAAAAAAAAATGGTGACAAATTGAACATTCACAGTTTTAATGAATGAAATTTTAAAAATTGGTTAATTTCCGTTTGAAATAACAACAACAAAATTCTCCAGTGTTATGTAATTACCCAAAGAGGGAGAGAGAGATAGAAAGAGAGCAATTTGACAACGTTTTAAGTATTATTATTATCATTATAATTATTTTAAAAGAAAAAATTAAAAAATAATAATAATTTTTACGAATTGTTATTGTTTGTTTCCGTGCGAAAAAATTTACAAGGTCTCTCTCTCTCTCTCCAAAACTTGGAGAATTAAAAAAATTTCCAGACTAATTTCGTGATATATTATCATCATTATTATCACAAATCGCGCTTCTGACGTTTTTATTAAAATTAATAATAAGAATTCTGGAATTTTTCGCTCGCTGTCGTGACGTAATATTTCCAAAAAAAAAAAAAAACGATCTGATTTACAAAGTAAGCAAATAATAATAATAATAATAATAATAATAATAATGATGATGATGGAACGACGACTGGAGTCGGTTGACCTTGAAAGTGAAAAAAAAAAAAAATTGTTTAATTTCCGCTCTCGTGATTTTGTATGTTTTCGTTTCCGTGCGAACATATTTATTATTATTATTATTATTATTATTCTTTTTTTTTTTTAAAGAAAATTCCGTGACATGATTTTACACCTTTTTCTAAACGTTTAACGAACGTTTTTTTCAGAAGAAAAAAAAAGGAAAAAAAAAAACCTTTGGCTAAAAGGTATCATCATCATCATCATCATTAAAACGTTTAAAAAAACGAAAAACCCCAAAATTTTAAAATTAGGAGGGAAGAAAAAAAAAGTTTCGTGATTTTGTAAAAATTGTCGAGTAATTAGTTAAAAAAAAAAATTCCTTTTTTGTCAAAGGATTTTCCTTTGATTAAAAAAAAAAAAAGGAATTTTTCATTCGTTAAATTTCTTTTATTTTTATTACGTTCGTTTTTCCGATTATTATCAAAGGTAATAATCGTGTTATATGATTTATCCTTTGATTATCTCAATGGTAAATGTCAAAGGAAAGATTTGTGATTTTTTTTTTACGTGTGCGAATTGAACGATCGATCGATAAAGCGTGCGAACGAAAAATATCGAACGTTTCGAAACGGCGGATTCCAGGTTAAAAAAAAAAAAAATCGTGGAAATAAAATCGTCGTAATCGTCGTCACCGCCGTCACCGGCACCGTCATCGTCGTCGTCGTCGTTGTTTAAAATGTTGTCGTGGTCCGAGTTAATAAAAAAAAAAAAACAAAATCAAGTTTAATTTAAATGAATTATTATTAGCGGATGCGAATGTCAGGTACTAAAATTCAATCCTGTTTCTCTCTCTTTTTTTTAAATAAATTTTTGTATTTATTATAATTTTCAGGTACGTACCTGAATGCGCGTACCGGATAAATAAATAATTTACGCACATTTTTTTTTTAATAACGCGTAATTAATATGTCTTTTAACTTTTTTTTTATTAATTTATTACGTTCAATTTTTTTTTTTTTTTTTTTGGTTTATTCGAAATGTTTTCAAACGTTCCGATTTGTATTATTATCATTATCATTATCATCATCATCATCATCATCATCATTAATATTATTTTCTTAATTCGTGACACTTAGATAATTCCATTTCCTAAAATTTTGCATTGGTCTCTTTTTCTCTCTCTCTTTATCTGTCACCCTTTTCATTCTCTCTCTGCTGTCATCCTCTCTCTCTCTCTCTCTCCTTGTCTTTTCCTTCTGCTGTCGTTCGAAACCTTTAAATATTTTTTCCATTACTTCTAATTTCTTTTAAATTTCAAAATGGCGGACGTTTTAAAATTATCATTCTACGAACTTATGACCACCATCGTCATCACCGTCACCACGACCACCACCGCCTTTTTCGAGTATTAAAAAAATTTATCTAACACATATTACACATCGTATGCATCCCTTAAATAATAATAATGATGATTGTAATAATAATAATAATTATAATTAATTTTTAAATTAAATTTTAAATGTGGCTTTGGCTTCATATTGTTTTGTATAAAAATTCAAAATTTCACCGAGTAAAACAAAAAAAAAAAAAAATTTTCATTTAAATGAGAAAATTGTACGGGAGGTGAGGGGGTGGGTGGAAAGATTATTAAAAATAAAAATGGCGTCGAAAAATTTTATAAAAACGAAAGATGAGAGAAACGAGATTCGAATTTGATTTTTTTATTTTTTCGATGTTATTTCAACGCCATTTTTTTTAAAAAATAAATGTTACTTATTTGTTCTTCTTCTTATTCGTTATTATTATTATTATTATTACTACTACTACTACTACTATTATTATTATTATTATAACTATTTTGTTTTTAATTAAAAACATATATCAAGGAGAGAGAAAAAAAAAAGAAATTAGTTAACATTTATGGTAATAGGGTTGTAGTGATGATGGTGGCGGTGGGGGAGGTGGTACGTTAAGAAAAAAATTTTTTTTAAAAGTAATTTTCTAGACGGATAAAGTCGGAATTTTTTTTTTTTTTTACGGAAGATAAATTATGGTTGATATTTTCAATAGGAAATGATCACAAAAAAATTCATAGTTTCGAAAAAAAAAGAGGCCGAATTTGATGGGGCCTCAGTAGAGTTGTGTGGAATCATAAACAAAAAAAATAAATTCAACAGGTTGAAAAATTAAAAACAATTTTTTTTAATAATTATTTAACAGGTACTACTAATATACGGCCCTGATTTTTTACGTTCAACCTTCTTTAAAATTTTTTATGGGTGAAAATTTTTAAACGAAAAAAAAAGGTAATTAAAAAAAAAACTTTTCCCAAATTTTTTTTTGCTTTCGTAATTAAAAAAAAAAAAAAAAAGAAGGAGTAATAATAATTATTACTAGGGTAATATTCTTAAAAATAAAAAAATTATTATTTAATTTATGACGAAATTTAACGAAACAAAAATGGCGGGAAAATTTAAAAATTAAAATTCCCTACTAACGTACGATATGGATTAATTTTTATTTTTAAATATTCATTTCAAATTATTTTGCTATCGTTAATATGACAATAATTTTTGCTAACGTTAATATGTTTAAACATCCATTTTCCCCCTTCTGGGAAAATCCCCCCCCCCCAAAAAAAAAAACGAAGGAAAAAAAATTTTTTTTGTTTTTGGCGTGCACCTTGGTTTGTTTTTAATTTTTTTTTTCGTTTGTTTGCGTTCGTTACGGTAAATGATTATTATTATTATTATCATTATCATTATTATTATTATTATTATTATTATTATTATTATTATTATTATTATTATTATTTCGGTACGTAAATTATTAAATTATTAAAGTGTTTTATGATTCCAGGTACAAATTTTAATTTTTTTCTTTCCCTTTAAAAAATATAAAAAATATAAAAACAAACTACTTAAAATTTTTTTTTTCTTTTTCTTTTACCTTCGGTATAATTATTATCATTATTATTATTATCGTTATTATTATTATTATTTAATGTTTAAAACGCGACTGGAAACGGACGCGAGTTTTGCCAAAATTTTAACGTCCGAATTTTTTTTTTTTTTTTTTAAACACCTGCAAATTAATCATTTGAATGTTTTTATTAAAGAGAGCAGGTGAAAAAGGTTGGAAAAAAAATTCCTTTGAATAAATTTTGTTTTATTATTATTATTATCATCATCATAATCATAATGATTATCATCATCATTATTATTATTATTATTATTTTCAAATTAAATTCAATAAACCTTTATCCGGAAAATTAGGGGAAAAAAAAGTGCAAGAATCTCTCTTATGAAAAAAAAAAAAAAATTCGGAAATTTAACTTAATTTCATCAATGCCACAACAACAACAACAACAACAACAACAAACGAGAGGACTAAACAATATTTATATAATATATAAAAAAATTTTTATTGTTTTTGTTTTTTTTTGAATAACACGTTCGATTTCACTCCGACGAAAAAAAAAAAAAAACAAAATTTTCTTCTGCATTTTTTTCTTTTTTTTTTCCGTTAATTGTTATAAACAATAATAATAATAATAATAATAATAATAATAATAATAATAATAATAATAATAATAATAATAATAATAATAATAAAAGCTATGTTAAATTTATTTATTATTATTAATAATAAAAAAAAGTAGTTATTAGTCGGTAATGACCTTGAAAAAAAGAAAAATTCTCACTATTGTTTTTTCCATTTTCATTTTTTTTTTTGTCTTCGTTCATGTGAAATCACTTTCTCTGATTCATTTTAAAATTTGTTTGTTCGGTTGTTCGTTCGGGTTCATAATAAAAAAAAAATAATTTACGCGTACATGCGTGGTGAGTACGCGCGTTTTTTCAAAATAAATTTTTACAAACGGCAAACAACCGCCGTTCGGATGATCCGTTAACGACACAATCTTGTGTGTGTACGCGCGTTTTTAAATTTACGCATGAGTCGTCGGAAAATCGGGGAAATCGGAGGAAAAAAAAAAGAAAATTTTTTTATTCAAATCTCGCGAAATTTTTTGTTCGTCGTACGGATGAGAGTGACAACAACCAAAATTTTTTTTTTTCGATTTCGCGTGCGTGTACGCACATTCGCGCGTACACGCACGCTTTATCTTTTAATCTTAACGAACAGTATGGCCGTTGTTCCGTCGTTATCGTTATTATTCAATCATGCCCGTTCGTTATTTAAAAAAAAATTAATTAATTTTAGAAAAACTTACATCGGTTTCATCCAAATGTTGTGAATTAACATCGATCTTGTCTAATCTAACAGTTCCTTGAAAAGGATAGAAAAACGTTCCTTGTGACACGCGCACGTTCGAAAACACGGTGACGTTACCCTTGTTACGATCACGTTCGTTCGTACGTTCAGATGATGGAGTTATGGCAAGTGATAGTTCTTGTGGTATCAAAACCCAGGTCTCCATCTCGCGTTATTAATTAAATAATCATAATAATAATAATAACATTTCTTAATCTTCTTCTTTTAATTGTAAACACCTAAAACAAAAAAAATCAAAAATTATTACTCGAAATGCGACAACGTCGAGAAATTTTTCTTTCTCTCTCACTCTTTTTAAATTATTATTATCATCAGGGTAAGTAATTATTAATAAAAAAAAAAATAGGGAGAGAGAGAGAGGTAATAAAATATTTGTTGGGTAAACTTACGACATATTCCTCCTTCTCCTCCTCCTTTTTGCCCTTTAAAAAATCATTTCAAATATTGAGAAATTTTTTTTTTAGAAAGGATAATTTTTTTTTTATGTCTCACATCTCCATTTAAGGAATTACGCATAATGCGTAAATTATTATTATTATTACGCACGTTCTTTTATGAAATTTAAATTTTGCGAGTGAGTGCATGTTTCGATACGAACGTGGTATGACGTTATCATTTATTATCATTAACTCGGGATTTTTTTTTTAATAAAGAAAAACGAAAAAGTACAAAAAACCCGTTGACGTTTTTGATAATGTTATCATTATTATTATTATTATTATTATTCTCTGACGATTTAATAAATTTTTTATTTAATTACTCGAATCGAAATAAATAAATAAACGAACGAAAGGAAACGAGTTTTTTTTTTTTTATTTAAATAATTTTAATTGACGTCAAAAATAAAAAAAAATTTTTTTTTTCTTTAATTAGATTGAAATAACGTTTAACGCGCGTATAAAAGCAATTAAAATTTTTACGTGCGTTTTTTTTTTATTACCCAACAAACAACAACAAACAAAAAAAAAAATTTTATCGGCAACCTTAAAGTAAATGTGAAAAAATAAATAAAAAATTTTCTCTCACCTTACTAACAAACAAATTGAATCCTTTTATATAATATTTATTTATTATTAATTTTTCACTTTTTTTATTCACAATAATAATAATAATAATAATAATAATAATAATAATAATAATAATTAAACTGATTGTTCTTAACGATTCCCGAATTTAAAAAAAAAAATCGAACGTACGAATAAAAAAAAAAAAACAAAAGGAGCACGATAAAAAAAAAAAAATTAGTATAATCGCGACGAGGTTTTAAACAACAACAACAACAACAATAACAACAACAGACGCGAACGATAATGCCGTAAAAAAAAAAATAAAAAGTCAAATGATGAAAATAATTCAGATCAAGTTAAAGTAAACTCATTCAAAAGGAGTAACCTGGTATACTAAAGAAGAAGAAGAAGGGTGTTCGAGGTACCCAACAACAACAACAACAACAACCCGGCATAAGAGACCATACACGAAGTCAACAAACAAGAAGCCCATCGGAAGCAGTTTTCATGATGAAACGAATTTATTATTTCACGCCCGACCAATCTAAACATCACGAATAGGTAAACTCTTCTTCTTATAATGTGCCCCCCTATTACACTAAAAAAAAAAGGTATTTGAAAAAAATAACAAACGAACGAGTTTACGATACCCGTTTTTCTCGCGAGTTTCGTAACGTAAGAAAAACATCGACTCGATGCGATTTTCAAATGGAATCGTAAGTTTTCTTAAAATAAATTCGTACTATCGAGCACGTGGTTCGTAAGTCATGCTTTACCTGTACTATTAGTACTCGCCGAGATAAAACATACAATTTTCTTAATGAGAAACAAAGATAGATATATATATCTTTTCGATTACGTTTATATTTTTTTTTTTTTTAATAAAGGAATTTATTTGTGCAGAAATTATTTATAATAATAATAATAATAATAATAATAATTTTTACAAGGGGAAAATACTCGGACGAAAATTTATTTAACCTGGAACTTGAAGAGGGGAAAGTTTTTCGGATTTAAAAAAAAAAGGGGGAAAGGGAAGGAAATCAAAAACTTCAAATTCAAGGGGTTTCTTCACAAAAAATTTTTTTATTAAAAAAAAACGCGTGGAAAAAAAGTAGAAAAAGAAATAATAATAATAATAAGGTGGAGCCGAGATTTAAGTTCTTTGAATTTTAAACCAATACTCGTGTACCTAAGAGGAGATGAGTATAATATTTTATCCAATAAGGTACCAACTCGTATACCCGCGAGCAAGTTTTTTTTTTTTTTTTTTACGTAAAACTTTTTCGGTTCGAAGCTTTTAATTAAAACTTAAACGCGCGCGTAAAAATTTAAAATTTTAACTTTTGAACAAGGTCGAATCGAACGTTTTCTTTTCTTTTTTTTTTTCTGAACGTTTAAATAATTTATTTGTGGGTGTTACTCTTTTTTGAATTTTAAATAAAATACTTACAAAAAAAATTGGGGGGCCGATATTACCTTCGAAATATTTAAACTGACGAAACCGCCATTTTTCTTTTTTTTTCATTTTCATTTTCATTTTGAAATAATATAATAATTATGAAATAAATTTTTTCCATTTTTTTTTTTTTTAATATTCTCTTTTTTTCGATCGTAAAAAAAATTTGCATTTAATTTTTTTTCTAAAAAACAATTTCGAAAATTAAAAATGATAACGCTTATCATAAATTTTACGCGGCGTATTTAAAAATATTTCGCCGAGAAAAATATGAAAAAAAAAAAAAATCGATCGTAAATTCTTTCAATTTGATAAATATCGATTTATGTTTTTTTTTAAAATAAAGAATAACTAATTTAAAATCAATTGAAATTAATTGATTGACTGATTTATTCGTGCCAGTAGTAATTGGGAATCAAAAAAAAAAAAAAACGCGGGGAAAAAAAATTT